ATTTTAAGTTATAATAAAATAACTTCACAGATTAAAACATACACTACCATTCAAAAGTTTTAAAAGAAATTAATACTATTATTCAGCAAAGATGCATTAAATTGATCAAAAGTGACAGTAAAGACATTTATAATGTTACTAAAGATTTAAATTTTAAATAAATGCTGTTCTTTTGAAGTTATTCACCAAAGAAACCTGAACATTTTTTTAATGGCTTCTAATAATAAAAATAATAATCAGAAATGTGTCTTGAGCAGCAAATCAGCAAAAAAAAATCTTACCGACCCCATCCTTCTGTATGGTAAAGTACACTCAAATTATTTAAGTCGTCATAAAATTAATTTATTATTTTACTTGGTGATTATAACACTTAAACAATGGTTTTAAATGCAAAAATGCTTCAATACAGAAATGGTTGAAAAATGCTCAAAAATTCAAAAAATGTCAAGTGCTTCAACAAATATGAATAATAATAAAAAAGATTACACTCCTAAAGATTTGGCACATGCATTTTGAACTAGATTTTGTTTATTTCCATTTCATGATGTCAGATGTCTTATGTGTATCATGAATGTATCAGATCTGAATAGGCAGAAGACCAGATTGTTAAAGAAAATTGTCTGAATGATCATATTTGAAGGATCTCTTTATGTTGAGTACAGGAACAGAAAGAGCCTGACGTTACTCACATCCATCTGAGTCCTGAGCCTGGAGCCCATCTGCTCTGTGGACGTGCACCTGTGTGACCAGCTTTGGATACCCACAGCACCCTGTCCAACAGGTTTGGGGCGGCTCGTCTAATGTCAGCTCCCTGAACACCACACAACCTTCATCAATACACTCAGCATCCATACTGCAAACAGAAAAGACTACTGTAAATACACATTTCTGATGTATTACTTGCAGGCGGCAGGCACATCCGTGAAGATGCGCAACAGGAAGTCTCCCTGCAGGCCGGGGTCAAAGGTCGTGGGAATGATGACGTAGCGGCCCTCCTTCAGGTCCTTGCGCAGAAACACACTGCGGGAGTTAATGTAGATGGAGCTGCCCACTGTTTTCTGGATGGTGTGCATGCGGTACGTCCGGTTGAGCTCCACCTATCAGAAAACACATCTCGACCAATCAATTAATATCATATTTGATCAATGAAATCCAATATTTGTTTCTTACTCCAAAAATAGTGTCCGTTTTGCTTAAACATGTCACACTTACTCATAAAATATGTGCATTTCGTTGCATTTTTGCTTTCAATAATTATTTTTAAGGTGAAGAAGTTTTTGTATTATCAGCAGAAAAACACCACACACACACACACACACACACACACACACACACACGATTCCTGTCTGAATCTGAACCATCTGCTCAATTGATTCTCAGCCCATTTTCACATGTATGACTGCTTCTGAACACATTATTTGAGATGTTAACAGATATATATACACAGGTCGCACATCACGGTAAACAATGACAGAACTCATTATGTTTCAGGGTTTCTGCAGGTTTGATGAAAGTAATGTAAAGTAAAGATTTTTAAAGATCTTTTTAAGACCAAATCAAGAAAATGTAAGGAATAAATCGAAGGGAACACAATAAGCCCATATGATCTCTAAATGTTAATGTCTAGGAAGCAAAATGAGTAGAAAGTTTGAAAACTTTACTTTTAGACAAAAAAGTGAGTTTAAATGAATTGAATTTAAGTTGAATTAATAAAAAACTGAATTCAAATGGAAAATAAGTTTTCATACAGATGTAAACTCACTTCATTTTGTTTAATTTCTTAGAAAACAAGACTTTATATCTTTTATACCTTTTTCATTCTCCAGTTTATCATGATTTAAGAATGCGTAGATATTTGTATTGGAAAACAAAATTACTGAGGAAGATATTCAGTTTTTGCAGTGCATGCAACATTTAATGCCATGACTTGATGAATTTAAGACGTTCTGCTAAAGGCCTTAATTTGTGGAAGGGTGAATTAAGACTTTTAAGGCCTTTTTACGACCCGCAGAAATCCTGTTTTTTATTAAGGGGAAACCAGTTATTTTTGCATTTTTCTGAGCCAGGAATATTTGATCAGAATATTTATTTGTTGAACAGATTCTCTGATTGTCCTTCACAATTTCCTACTCCTGATTTCAAGGTCAGAATTATGACTAGTGTCAGAAGAAAATGCTAAATTCTGTAAAAAAAATTATTTTGTAAAGTTCTTTGATATTAAATGTATTTGAGTATTTGAACATATTTTCCCACTCCTTTGCAGATTGTGAGTTAAATGATACATTTTTAATACGTCCTTTTGTCATTAAAACCAAAGGTTTTGACATTTGAATGCTTTTGTTATTTTGATACATATATACATATATAGTTTGAATGATCTTCATTCTTATTTTGAGAAAAAACTCACGATGGAAAGTTTTTATTGATATTTTTGAACTCAGCATCATCAGAATAGGTTAATACTAGGCCTCTTTTGCAAATCAGCAGAATGTTTTTTCAAGATTCATTTGTGTGCATAATATACATACGTTTTGGATATAAAAGCCGATGGCGATGTTGTCTCCTTTCCCATCTTTGGATTGAGCTCTCTTGTCCTGCTGCTGCAGGCAGATCAGAACCTCGTCCTCAGCCTTCGTCACGTCGAACACATACTGAAAAACACAGAGCCACTCTTCAGTACCCGTCTACACAATAAACACACACTTGTGAACAAGCGCTGCGCACCTGTGGGTTCTGGAGGAACGTGGCTTTGTGGTTGATGCAGCCTCCTGATCGGTTCGTTAAAGGATCGTCATGGCGACACCAGGAGCCCCGCATCACTGCCTCCTCCCAGATCTTGTGGATGCTCAGGTACGACGTGTTAATCAAGCGGCACAGAATCAGGTCTGTGAAATACTTACAGAAATCCTCAAAATCCATCCTGGGAGAGGAAAGGCAATGGACAGACAGAAAAGAACAACCATCAATAAGAAGATAATGAGAAGACTGAACAGTTTTACGAGGAGTTTCAGTTTGAGTTCATGAGTTGATTCTGAACTAAAGTCCTAAATCAGCAGCTGCATACTTTTCATGCACATAATTCAGCTTTAGGCAAAAATATAAGTAAGTTTAAGTAACTTAACAGCACAGTGCAGCACCTGTTGATAACCACTGAAAATTTCAACTTGTCACTTATTTTAGGGAAAAAAAAAAAAAAAAAATGATATATCCGGAGAGATTCTGAATGAAGCCAATGCTTCTGGAATATTCATTGGTCCCGATCCTGGAGCGTCCGGCAGTCCTCACAGAGGATTTCTGCTCCTCCTCCCAGATCTTGTGGATGCTCAGGTACGACGTGTTAATCAAGCGGCACAGAATCAGGTCTGTGAAATACTTACAGAAATCCTCAAAATCCATCCTGGGAGAGGAAAGGCAATGGACAGACAGAAAAGAACAACCATCAATAAGAAGATAATGAGAAGACTGAACAGTTTTACGAGGAGTTTCAGTTTGAGTTCATGAGTTGATTCTGAACTAAAGTCCTAAATCAGCAGCTGCATACTTTTCATGCACATAATTCAGCTTTAGGCAAAAATATAAGTAAGTTTAAGTAACTTAACAGCACAGTGCAGCACCTGTTGATAACCACTGAAAATTTCAACTTGTCACTTATTTTAGGGAAAAAAAAAAAAAAAAAATGATATATATATATAGAGAGAGAGAGATAGATAGATAAAATACACGTTTTGAAAAGTATAGTCCCAAAACATGCATGTTCAAACATGACTAGTGTCATAAAAACACTAACTTATGTGTGAAAACTTACATGCAATATTACTCCTGTCATGCATGTAAACCAGGCAAACCCAATAATTTCATGATAATCGCAAAGATGCCATAAAAGGAGGATGATGCATTTTTGCAATGAAGAATTAATGTAACTGCTTTAGCAAAAAGCTTCACACATTGCTTTTAAACCAATTCTAATGAAACATTATTTTCTATGGTAATCGACAGCATGTCACAGATAGAAATGCTAAAACATTATTTGAGATGTTAACAGATATATACAGGGAGCACACTGATGAAAACAATGACAGTACTTACTATGTTTATTATTAAAGAGAAACTGGATAGTTTTGCGTTTTCCGGAGTCAGAAACATTTGTATTTGATCAGAATATTCCTTTGTTGAATATTAATCTCAGATATGAATCTCACCAGAACTCGCCATCATCCTCCACGGTCACACCAATCTTCTCTCGCTCGCTCTTACTGACTCTCTTCCACTCCTCTGAGCTACAGATGGACAGAGACAGACCGAAATTGATTAAGAAAAAACATTATAGTGCTTCAATTCAATTCGATCCCCTGTAAAACAAACAAACAAACACACACACACATACATACATATATATATACACACACACACACACACATACATATACATATACATATATATATATGTGTGTGTGTGTGTGTGTGTGTGTGTGTGTGTTTGCAACACTGAATCATTATTTTCCTGTTCATTACTGTAAAGCTGCTTTGAAACAATCTGTATTACATAAAGCACTATATAAAAAAGTGACTTGCTTTGATATATTTAAAAAAAAAAATTCAACCAAATGCATTTTAATGGCATATTTTATACGTTTGTTTTTGCATTTTTGAACCTTTGATTTTATTTAATAAAAAAAAATGCATTAAAGAAAAATACAATATTAAAATGTACAAATTGTATTACCTTCAACCAAAAATTTAATTCATCAACATGTATGATTTTAAAATGTATTAAAATGTACAAATTAAAATGTATTTAATAAAATTAAATGCTTTAATATTCTGTACATCAATACTGATTATTTTAATGAATTTGCAATATAAGCATTATAAAAGTAAGTAAATGCATTAATAATATATTATTCACATGTTATTAGGTCTCTAAAAAACAAGTGGTCTTTGGTTGAAGATTGCTGATTTGGAGTATTTAAATGCTGTTTTCTCTCCTAAAACCCTGCAATGTGAACACAGTCAGTATGAACTCAAGATAACTGGCAAAGCATGAACAAAAAATTATTTAATGCATTTTACGATGCTGAAATATGACACTTGATGTTGAGTTTGTCCTCCAGTAGGTGGCAGTATGAGCACAAAAATACATTTTATAGTCACAATCTGTGGTTTGAGACAAAGCATCTCAGTCAGCACAGCCTTAACATTTCCTGATTTTTCCATAGCATCCTTTTTTTTTTTTTTTACATGGTACTAATACTTTAATCCTTCTTATTCACAAATAATTTTTCGCTCAAAATCATTCTCTTTCTAATTGTTTAGCACATTCACTGGAAATGTTAGCATTAGGCGCATGTTGTCTAGCAATTGGGGAATTTGTTTACATGATCACTTGAAGTGCTTCTGTGCCCTAAATCAAACTATTTACATCAGGGGAAGGCTGGGAAAAACTCCACCGTTAAATAAGGCCATGTTTCCTTGCATTGCACAAACAGTAAAACACAAAATAGAGAATTTAGTCTGCAAATTTCCGTTGGAGCATCATGCAGAAGTGTTTAAATGTGTACAGGCCCCTTTATAAACCACACACTCGACAGTAACACTAAACAGCTTCCAGATGTTCACAAACCTGTCGCTCCAAGCTCCGATCCACTCTCTCTGACCCCACGGGTTCCTCATACGGATCATGGAGAGCTTCTCCGATTTAAAGAACGCCATCAGGCCGGTGCCCAGACGCACCTTACGCACATCAGTCACCGCATACGCGTGACCTTTGACCAGGCCGCAGTCTAAACGGGCTTCCATGTCCGCCTGACTCGTCGCCTACGAAAACGAGAATCCAAATATGAACACGAGACTGGGATGAGACACATTAATACATTAAACACTAATACATGTGAATCTCACTTTAATGGAGCAGCTGATCAGACCTCCTCTGTTGTGGACCTTCAGAACGCGCTCGAACAGCTGATTTCGGGCCTCTTCCTCCTGGCTGAACTTCCCTTCCAGCAGATCCATGGGCTCAGATATTCCACCAGTGAAATCCACAAGAGCGTCGGCCGTGTTTCCGCCATCCAAAGCATCATAACATCCACATAACCTGATAAAAGATGGACCAGATAAATGAAACAGTAAAAATAAGTATATTAGGGTTAGATATACACACACAAACTGCTGTTCAATAGTTTGGGATCAGTAATATTTTTTATGTTTTTTAAAGAAGTTTCTTATGCTCATTAAGGCTGCATTTATTTGATCAAAAATACAGAAAAAAATAGTAATATTCCGAAATATTATTACAATTTAAAAAAAACGTTTTCTATTTTAATATAGTTTCAAATTTAATTTTTTTCTGTGATCAAAGCTGAATTTTCATCATCATTACTCCAGTCTTCAGGGTCACATGATCTTCAGAAATCATTCTAATATGCTGATTTGCTGCTCAAGAAACATTTCTGATTATCAATGCTGGAAATAGTTGTGCCGCTTCATTTTATTTTATTTTTTTTGGAAACTGTGATAATTTTTTCAGGATTCTTTGATAGATAATTTTAAAAGAACAGCATTAATTCAAAATAGAAATATTTTCTAACAATATAAATCTTCACTATCACTTTTTATCAATTTAACACGATAAAAGTATCACAGGTTGCAAAAAAATATGAAGCAGCACAACCATTTCCAACATTGATAATAATGAAGGATCATGTGACACTGAAGACTGGAGTTATGATGCTGAAAATTAAACTTTGATCACAAAAATAAATTACACTTTTAAGTATATCAAAATAGAAAACTGTTTTTTTAAATTGTAATAATATTTCAGAATATTACGGTTTTATTCTGTATTTCTGATCAAATAAATGCAGCCTTAATGAGCATAAGAGACTTCTTTAAAAAACATTAAAAATCATATTGATCCCAAACTTTTGAATGGCAGTGTGTATATAAAGAATATGCTTTTTAATCATATTATATTAAATATATGATAGCTCCATTCAATTTGATGTTTTTTTTTCTGTGTGATATTGGCTGTGGTATTTACTTGGCATAGGCTTTCTCCACCAGCGCACTCCAGAACTCATTACTGTCGTTGGAGTGGCAGTAGATGAGCTGCCCATTTGCGGTTGGTAGTCGGTCATCAATAATGACGTCCACCCATTCTCCAAAACGCCAGAAGCGAAAGTGAAATATCCCAGCATAGCTCTCCGGTTTCTGCTTGTCCCACTCCTGGTCCTTCCAATCTGGGATAACCTATAAACAGACAAAACACTGCTTTTTTATAACTATAATCAACTAAAACACACACACTGCCAGACCTCTGATGCAGACAAGGAAAATGTGGGCAAACAAAAACCACAAAAAAGTAATGGAATTACAGGAGCTTATGAGTGAATCATATGAAAACCATCAAGAACATGCTCACTCCAAACATCAAAAAAGAAAATAAGAAATTAATTTTTGATAATTGTTTTACATTAATTAACCATATTTAAAGCAATGTTGTTTTACTATTAAATATAATTATAATCTTAGCATTTTTTATATTTTATTTTAATTTTAGTCATTTTAATACTTTACATTTTCAATTTTAGTACTTCAACATTTTAGATAGTTGCCAAGGCAACATTTCTCATTTTCCTAAATTTTAATAGCATTAGTTTTACATTAGTTGTACATTTTCATGTCAGTTAAGCACATTTTTACCCTCAATTCAGAATACCGCAATGCTAAAAACTCAGTCTATAATAATAATAACAAAATAATAATAAACTAAGTGAAGAATATATAAATCATAGAAGTATTTGTTGTACTGTGTTTACACCAAGTTAAAAAAATAAAATTGCAATACTTTTTTTCACCCCTATATTTGGATTTTTACTGCATGCCAATCTAATGAAAATAATCAGACCTAAATAAATAAATAAAATTTATTTCTTAATTACTTAATTTAAAATAAAATAAAGTCAAATGTCCATAGGCATTAGGTAAAGGGAATGTGGGGTTAAAATAAAATAAAATAAAATAGTCAAATGTCCATAGGCATTAGGTAAAGGTAAAGGGAATGTGGGGTTAAAATAAAATAAAATAAAATAAAAATAGTCAAATGTCCATAGGCATTAGGTAAAGGTAATGTGGGGTTAAAATAAAATAAAATAATAAAATAAAAGCAGTATTATCAATCAGATGCATATTTAAATAATCCAAAGAAATTCTTCCCCCAAAAAAATCCTAAGCATCTGTTGCCTAGTGCTGCAACACGTCAAACTCTAGCAGTGAATCTCCGGTTGATTCGCTCCTCCTCCTGCTCCCAAAACTTATCCAGAGGCTCAGAGCATGTATGGCAGAATCAATAAAGTCCCCAACGAAACCAGGCTTTTTGCCCCGTGGGGCTACAGAGGCGGGTGGAGGGGTGGGATGGAAAGTGAAGGTTGAGAGAGGAGAGAGTTTATTCAGTCGCACACAGACACAAACCACAAGCGCACCGATCCTCCCTCGACTCGAAGACGATCTGCTCATGGGTTCAGAAATAGAGCTAACCTTCGCAGAGGACCTGCAGCTGACGGAGGTGATGCGTTTGAGGGTGCAGTCGCTGCAGCAGAAGGACCAGAAGCGGCAGGACGGTGAGAGGCTGCTGCTGCCACACGAGTCCGTCTACCGGCTGGACTTCAGCCAACAGGACCTGACCTTCTCCCGCTGGAACGTCAGTCTGCAAGGAACGGGACGCTTCACCGTCACCGGCATCTGCCAGCTCTGGACGCCCGACCTGACCAACCTGATGACCAGGCAGCTGCTGGAGCCCACCGGCCAGTTCTGGAGGAACGCCGGAGATCCAGACGATTTGCCCATCAAGTGTCTGGAGGCGGATATCCAGGAGTTCGGAGAGAGGATCGCAGAGCTGGCAAAGGTGCGGAAAGTCATGTACTTCCTGTTCGCTTTCAAGGAGGGAGTGACGAAAGAGAAAATCTCATGCTCTTTGACCTTCAACAAAAACAATTAATAGATGGAATCTCTCCAAGCATCGTATCCTAAAACCCCAGGAAGGTTAGATGCTCTCAAACCTCTTTTTTCACCAATCAATCATAAAAACTTAGTCATTTATTATTTATTTAGCTTCATTTCTCATCCTGCTGTCCAGAAAAGCAACATTTTAGAAAGACTGTTAATTATGCACATGCATTTTGTCCTGTGAATATGTAATCCTGTGCCGTTTTGATGCTTATAGACAGTTAAATAAAATATTTTTTGTCACTCGTTCTGTTTCTGTATGTGAATGTTTGGTTTTTGAGTACTGGAAGGTCATCAGTCTTGACCAGCATCGGCTCTAACCATCACACAGCCGAATCAACATCGGGAATCAATCAAAGCGTCCTGCCTTCAGGCAAATGCCACGCATTAGTTCTGGGAAGTCTGACTCACTGATTCTTTGAACGCTTTGATTCAATGAACTGGTTCAAAAAGCCAATTCATCCGTTTGTTTATGTCATCAAGTGTTTCCATTACATTTCTCAAATTATCTATGAAAAAGTTTTCTCTCCAGGCATGAACATCTATAACTCATATAGAGTTTCAAATAATGGTTAAATAGATCATTTTTACTCATTTGAATTACTCATTTTATTAATTTTTTATTTATTTATAATATATTATATAAAATAATTATTTTTGCATTATATAATAAAATAAAGTACTTTTATAGCTAACATTTCAGCTTGTCAACACAGCAAACACAAACCATTTAATTACAAAATTTTATGGATATTTCATGCAGAACTGAAAAGTTTTTTAATCATCAACTAAAAACTATTAAAACATTTTTTGTAAATGAAAGCTGAAATAAATAAAAAATTTGAAAAATAATTTTTGTATATACTGTATAACAATCTATTGAAAATAATCAAAAAAGTTGTAAATTGCAAATAAATGTAAATAAATCAGTTTAGCAGTATTATCAAATTAGATGCATATTTAAATAATCAAAAAAAATCCTAAAAAAAAAGCAAATAAAGTTTTTAAAAAGCAGTGGGCATCGATTACAACATATCAGACTATTATTTTATATTTCATGCAGTGCCGAAAAGGTTTTTTTTATTGTTGGCTAAAATTTTTTGTTAAATAAAATAGGAAATAATAAATACTAAAAAGTAAAAAAAAAACAGAACTAGAACTAAAACAAAAATAAATTAAACCTAATCAGTGAGATTTAAAAAAAAAAAAATGACAAAAGCACATAAAATTACTAAAGCTTAAACTACAATTAATTACACTTTATTTTAAGGTGTCATTTAAGGTATAATTCTAGGGGTTAATTTGGGTCATTTAAGGTATAATTGTACAAATAAGTACTAAGTATTATTAATGAATTAAAGTAACTAGTTGCATGTAATTCTGGGTAACACTTTATTTTAAGGTGTCCTTGTTACACACGATACATGTACTTACTATTATAATAACAATTAATTATGCACAATTACATGCAAGTAACCCTAAGCCAAACCCTAATCCTAACCCTAACCATATAGTAAGTACATGTAGTTAATTAATATAACTCAGTACTTAAATGTATAATTACACTCTAACAAAACAGTGTAAACTGTGTTTTTTTTCCCCCACAGAGCTAGTCGCAATTCTGGGATTCTCTTCTCTATGAAGCACAGATGTGATGCTGCCTTAATAAAATGGCCAGAATGAGGTTTAAATGGCAACTTATGATCCCTGCCTACCTTTAAGAGCAGCTTTAGCATCTTTAAATACTGGCTAGGTAGGCAGCTCACCATGCAAGAGTGTGTGTCCAGACGAGAGCTGTGAGTGTGTGTCTGACGGAGGTCTTCAGGGGGATGGCAGGAAGACAGGGATGTGTTACAAGACTGTAATTAGACCTCAGGAGGAAACGCCACGTCTAGTAGAGACAGAACACACAGCTCGGAGGGAGATGGAGAGCTCGGCGTCCTGCGCACCGGTGTATATCCGTGTGAGGTGCGTTACGGCAGGACGTCCCGCGAGGCTCTTTAATGAGAATTACGTGGAGCGACACGGACGGATGACGTACGACTGTAAGCTCATGAGTGAACGGAAGTGCGTTAAAAAAAAACTTTCTCCATGCATTCGCATCTGGAAATGTGTAACATAGAAACAAACAGAAGTCGTCTCGTGGGACTCAGTGTTTGTCCACGAGTGTGCATCGTTTGTGGACACGAATTAACATAGAGAAAGGTGATAACCCCAAGTCTCCAATTAGTCAGAAGCCATCAAGGCAATCTCATTCTCTCGAAACCAAACTCGTCCTAATAATGCATCATTTGCTCGGGAAGCACATCCCATGACTCTGTTTGTAAGGATTACAGTGTACCTGCAAACACAGTGTAATGAGGAAACCTCACGTTCTGTGTGAAATTATGAGCTTACACTCGAGGAATCGACGTACCACTGTATACAACAATAACAATCAGACATTGAGCAGAATTTGAGGTTTATTTCATGAAAAATAAGACTTGTGAAATTCAAATCAACATGACTTATTATTTCTTACAAAACAACAGGCTAGAACTATTTGTGCCACACTTATACTGCGTTCTGTGTCTGATGTTTTGTCAATATTACAAAACATTTTTTGGTTTGTGATTGTCTTGGAAACATTAGCACTACAAATGATAACTACAATGATGTTGTAACTGCTCTCTAAAACATTAAAACTAATAAAATTGTTTCGGCTAATTCAAATAAAGCTGAAATAAAAGATTTAATAAAAAATAAAATAAAATTATTTATAAAACTTATTTAATTTCAGTTAGTTGCCAAGGCATTATTTTAATAATTTTCCAAAGTACCAAAATGAAGTACTAAGAAAAAGACTAAAACTAAAGAACAAACTAAAGTTCATTAGAAATATTAAAAAACAAAACTAATAAAAATACTAAAACTAAATTAAACAATTTAAAAAACTACAAATAAAATGGAACTACAAACCAATCAGTAATGTTTTGCATTGTTTTTGAATCTGGGTTACAGCTGTATTTTTTGTAAAGAACATTTTGTAATTTTTTTTAAACAAAAACATATACAAAAAAAATGTAGACACTTTGCAATTTAATAAAAATAAAAATATTTCTAAAAATATAAAAACACATTGCACAAAAATGTTTTGTCGTGGAGCTGGTGAAAATGTTGGCAGGGCAAGTAAAACTCATCGTTGTTGAGCCCTGATTTTTATAGACATCAAGAACATGGATCAGTTTTGGAGTTTTGAGGGATTCTATGCAGTCCAAAGATATAAATAACTCAAAGTAAAATCACAGAGTCGTAAATTATGAAAACTTGAAATTATGACAAATGGTGTGAATGCATTCAGACTGAACAAGGCAGGCCAATGTTTTAACATGCTTCAGTGTTTCCGACTCTTTAAATGACAGCTCATTAAGACGGATACAGTGAGGTTGGTGATGCCACACCATGGACAGGTCAAATACAACTGTTCTCACTGCCCTCAGAAATAAAGGTAGGTGGTTAAAGTTCAAGACTGGTAACCATGTTTCTTCAGGGAGATTATACCTGCAATCAGTTTCCATTGACTCTGAAGTCAACCTCTGCTTCCTTCCTTCAATACTTCATAGCCACGAGGTGTTGATGTGAGATCGGTCCTCCTCTCTGACAGGATGCAATATCTTCCAGGCAATAATTAACCCTGCGAGGCCGAGTAATGACGACGTTCACTATCAGCGAATACGAGGTGGAATATGGTGTGAACGTGTCAATCTAGACTGAAGGAGAATGATTTCCCACAGCATAAACTCTATATAACTTGCACATCTTCTGACTAGTATATCCTGGTTATGGGAGCAATCCTTCTCACTAGAGGGAATATTAACTTTCATCGACATTTAACCTATTCATTAACCAAACTAATGATAAGGGGGTGGGCCGCTGATATCACGGAGCAAGGTTGTTCAGATGAGGACACCCTTACCACAGTAATCACCGTTTCAGACAAAATATCAAAATTACTAGAGTTATTTTAGTTCAAATGAAGGTGGTTAATTGGTATTAGCCACCACCGTCATCAAAACAAGAAATTGAAATAAATAAAAAAATTGAAATGAAAGAACCAGCAAGTGTTCTTGCGTTCTGTTTAAACTTCTTTAATTTTATTTAAATGTATTCGTTTTAAATTTAAATTTAAATTTACACTACTGGTCAAAAGTTTAGAATAATTAAGATTTTTATGTGTTTGAAAGAAGTCTCTTCTGCTCACCAAGGCTGCATTTATTTAATTAAAAATGCAATGAAAACAGCAAAAATTGTGAAATATTATTACTATTCATAATAACTCTTTTCTATTTGAATATATGTTAAAATGTAATTTATTTCTGTGATCAAAACTGATTTTTCAGCATCATTACTCCAGTCTTCAGTGTCACATGATCCTTCAGAAATCATTCTAATATGCTGATTTGCTGCTTGAGAAACATTTCTTTCTTAATATATTTGTGGAAAAAACAAACTTTTGACCAGTAGTGCATATGCATATAATGCATCTCGCATCGCATTCAAGATATACTATTTATCAGTTCATGCACTGAACCAATGACTTTGGCGTCGTGCTCTGATTTTTTTTTTCTACTGGTTTTTCAGTGTCTTATTCCATATTTTAATTAAGATGCCATGTCAAGTTAAAACAGTTATACATAGTGGTAACTAGGTAGAAGTTGTGGTTACCATGGTAACCGCTAACTAGCATGAACTCACCTTCTGCCACAGAGCTTCTCTGGAGGCCAGACTGGAACAGGCCGCCACAAACCAGCAGTTTCCCCACTACTGGTCAAAAGTTTAGAATAATTAAGATTTTTATGTGTTTGAAAGAAGTCTCTTCTGCTCACCAAGGCTGCATTTATTTAATTAAAAATGCAATGAAAACAGCAAAAATTGTGAAATATTATTACTATTCATAATAACTCTTTTCTATTTGAATATATGTTAAAATGTAATTTATTTCTGTGATCAAAACTGATTTTTCAGCATCATTACTCCAGTCTTCAGTGTCACATGATCCTTCAGAAATCATTCTAATATGCTGATTTGCTGCTTGAGAAACATTTCTTTCTTAATATATTTGTGGAAAAAACAAACTTTTGACCAGTAGTGCATATGCACTGCATAATATGTAATTTATACTGCATAATATGTAATTTATAATTAATGCATCTCGCATCGCATTCAAGATATACTATTTATCAGTTCATGCACTGAACCAATGACCTTGGCGTCGTGCTCTGATTTTTTTTTTCTACTGGTTTTTCAGTGTCTTATTCCATATTTTAATTAAGATGCCATGTCAAGTTAAAACAGTTATACATAGTGGTAACTAGGTAGAAGTTGTGGTTACCATGGTAACCGCTAACTAGCATGAACTCACCTTCTGCCACAGAGCTTCTCTGGAGGCCAGACTGGAACAGGCCGCCACAAACCAGCAGTTTCCCAGCTGACCCTGGTGCAGGTCATGAGCACTGATCCCATTCACAAACAAGTGCGGGTCTTCACACAGCTCCTGTTATACAGACAGACAAAGAGATTCCCATGATTCTCTATGTTCACACATGTATTAAACAGAGTCCAGTTACAGAAGGACCGCAGGGCAGTGTGTTTTTTTCACCTCTAATTAATCCAGACATGTTTTTCTGTTCTTGATTAACCTGTTTAGTGTGTCATTGAGGTACAATGACTGCTGAAACGGTCTAATGTTCTAACTAACCATTTAAAAGCTTAGTTTAAGGGTTAGTTTTCTCCTGAAATGCAACAAACATGGGGAAGCTGGTTTTTCTGGTTAAAAGTCAACGTGAAATTCAAGATATTCAATAAAAACAAAAAACAGAGACTGATGAGCATTTTTATTTTATGTTGACTTCAACAGACTGGTGTTGAATGATTAATTAAAACTAAATCAAAAACGCATTGGTTGGGATTTATTTAAATAAATATAATATAAGCACATTTAGGCACATATGCATTTGGGAATGCAACGTGCATCATTCATTTCACCTGATTTGTAAGAAGCAGCGTTTATGAACCTATTGCCAACAAAGGAGAAACTTTAAGGGTTTCCTGAGGTTTTCCGGTAAAATAAAAGATTGATGGTTTAATGGCTGAAAATTAAGAACTTAAGATATAATAATTATAATTTATTATTATTGTTGTTGTTAATAGTAATACTAATACTAATAATAAAACCAATATTAATTATATTATATTTTAATATTAGTTATTATAATATATTGAAATAATATTTTATTAGTATCATTATTAATCTTTTATTTTACAGTGAATTTGTTTTATTACAAATGGTAATAACTTATATTTTGCCTAATAATAATAATTATTATTATTAAAGCTGCAGTCTGTAAGTTTTGCCTCTTTGTCGCCATCTCTGGTTGAAAACCTGGAATTGCAACTGTGTGCAGAATTATCTAGCTTGCGTGGGTTGTGCTCTGGCACGGCTCCAGCGCGGATGAATCTAATGTTTTGAGGAGTATGTGTGGCAATCACTGAATCTAAATTAGCTTATATCACATCAAACCGTGCAAATTATTATTATTGTTATACTTTATTCTCAAATTGTTAATGTTAACAACATCAGCATTGCGTGACTATGAGTATAGTGTGTATTAGCGTGTAGATTTCAATTTCTGCACAGTCTAATGTCCAATTGTCATACCACTCGAATTTCATATTAAGAAATTCTTTTAACCCAAAAAGCAAATTATGCTCCCTTCGAACTGGTTGTCTTTAAAATACAAATCTTGTGTAATCCCAGGCTATAAGCACATTTAAAACGGAAATATAGTTAAATTTCATTCACATGTGTTTCATAAACACATAATCCTTTCTGGATTACAATCCGCATTCAAAATGATAAATTAAATTATTCTAGCTTCTGTGAGAAAAGGCTATAAACGATCGGCCACCTGCAGGATCCTCACATGCGATATCCTAGTAGACGGGACAACTTCTTTATGTTTACAGACGTGACGTAATGACGCAGAGACATGCTCGAATTTCCCGCGAAAACCTACCCGTACCACTCAAATTAGAAAACATTATTATAAGATAACCGTTGTGAATCGGGCTAAAGTAAGGCGATAGTTTCGAACACTGGCTGGTTATGTACTTGCTCAAATATTGATTTCGGATCATTTTTAACCAAAAATAGTTACGGACTGCAGCTTTAATCAAAATAAAATAATAATAATAATAATAATAATTATTATTATTATTATTATTATTATATAGTCATACTACTATAATAATGATAATAAAATAATATACATTTTTTTGGGCCAAAGTATGCATCCCTACATTACAAACATGGACCTGCACACTGCACATTCTTTCTCCCTGCCCAACTTTACTCAACACAACATCTAGTATTATTTCAGATGCTAAAGAAAACGTCAGCTGCAGCGAGGAAGAGCTGCTTCATGTGACATTCAATCATGAGTGAAGGTCTGTTTTGCCACCAGCCGAACAGACTTCAGCTTCAGCAGTTCATGACACAGGAGGTTTCTAGTGGGCGGAAGATTGCATAGCACTTGTTCAACAACATTGCACTCACATGCCTGAACAGAACACCGTCATTCATGATGGATGGAGAAACAGGGAGTGTCCTGAATATATGAAGCGATGCTCCCTAAATGCAAACATGCTGCTCTGTGTGACCTTTCTAGTGGGGTTTACTTTAGCATACTTGGTATTAAACTTTGGGTGTAATGTTTGTGTTCCTGACATGAAAGATCCCTCAAACGGTGAGTTTGTTGAAGAGAGGTGTGCTATTATTTTACCAAGTGATCAAATGCACCATTTTCACCTGGCAGATGATAAAAAAGAAAAAAAAAAAAAAATCTACAGATGAAAATCACTGCACAAACACAGTTACATTAGCCGCTCACTAGATAAAGCAAGCTTTAAGCTTATCTAACAATGACAGTCCACTCAATGATCACTTAAAACCTCATGCATATTTAACTAGTTAATGGATTGCCAGAAAGATTTTTCCCAGAGCCTTTAATGGACTGGATTCAGTTTTAATTGACAAAGATATTTAGGGCTTGTTTTTGTGTGATGAGCTTTAGCTAAATGCTGCTGAAAACAAGAGGAGAAACACCACATTTCATACAGTACAATTCATGAGATTAGATACAATTTAAAATTTTCATCATTTTAAAGACCTTCTGCACTAAAGGGTTGTGCTTATTTATGAATTTCTGAAGATGTGTCACAAGCTGGTCAAAGATACTAATATACCACAAACTTTTAAATGGCAGTGTACTGAATATTGCATTTGAAAACAGATTTATTTATTATTTTTGCCATGGTCTACATACATCTTGACTCAGGTTTATTTATATACTAAGAAAACATTTATTTATCCCACACAAGACTCCAGTTATGACAGCTACAGGAAACCAGTCCTGTACACAAACCTTTACTCATGCACATTTCTAAACAATAACTATTATAATCTTTGGCTAAATATAATATTGTCAAGCATTCACAAAGGAGTCGAGCAGGGGACTGTATGAAGAGGCTATTGTTTCAACTATAAACACGTTTATCTGGCATGAGTTTAAAAGCACAAGTAACACACAGTGTCCAGTTACACAAGATCTACGGCCAAAAGAGCCACACCTTCCATACACACACAGATCAGATATGAGTTATGACGACGTGATGGGTTTAATCGAGCCAGCCATAAAATCAACCTTCAAATGATTAAAGTGCATTAATGTTACGAAAGGGCACTAATTATCATACAGTTATATCATTTAATTATCAAGTCTTTGGATGAATCATTGCTGTCTGCTAACTTCTGCTTTTGCTCATACTTTCAGTTCATATTTTAATCCTGAAGTGTAAGTGCTAAATAATCAGATTTATGAAATAAATTAGATTATAAAATAATTAGACTTTTTTAAAATAATAAAATAGGGAAATATATCATTTCATACTGCAATCCTGAACGTCAAGTGTTGAATTATCAGATTTATAAAATAAATTGGATTATAAAATCATTTTATTAAAAAAAAAAAAGTAGACCAATTACAAGTTTCATACTTTAATCCTGAACATTAAGTGTTAAATGACCAGACTTACGAAATAAATCTGATTATAAAATAATTAGGTTTATTTAATAATACAATAGGGAAAATAGACCAACATTTTCAGACAAAATTCATATAGATTACACCACAAATGCAGCAGCGGGTTCATATTATGCAACAAATGACTCGCGTTATTTGCACCAGTGGCGATTGTTCCTTACCTTTGGTCTCTTCCAGGTGACTTTTCCGATGCGGTTTCCATGATAGAAGAGCGACCGGTCTACAGCGGGGAAGACGGGGTCTTCAAACAGAGTCCTGTTCTGCTGGCACTGTTTCCTCAGGGCTGAAAACTGCTGCCCTTCAAACGGCTTCACTGACGAGAACATCCTGCAGTCTGGAACGACACACAGACTAAAGATCATAATGCAGGAATCTTCTGCGGGTTATTGACCTGGCCGGTGGGATTGGTTTACTGCAACATCCCTTACTGTGCCTGATCTGTTCCGGTGTACGTGTGCGTTTTCAGAGGAAATACGATTTATTCAGAACAGGAACTGAGTTATGGCTGTCGTTAATATAATAGAGCAAAAAGCCTAATGTAGAAACACCGTTTTGGATGTGTTTCTCTGGCCTGAATAACATTTAAAGGGGTCATATGATGCGAATTCAAGTTTTCCTTTCTCTTTGGAGTGTTACAAGCTGTTCGTGAATAGAGAAGATCCCTGAAGTTGCAAAGACTAAAGTCTACATTAAAGAAATAGTTCAGCCAAAAATGAAAATTTACTGAAAATGTGCTCACCTTCAGGCCATCTAAGATTAGGATGCATTTGTTTCTTCATCAGATTTGGAGAAATGTAGCATTGCATCAGTGTCTCAGCAATGGATGCTCTGCAGTGAATGGGTGCCGTCAGAATGAGAGTCCAAACAGCTGATAAAAACATCACAATAATCCACACCACTCCAGTCCAGCAGTTAAAGGGATAGTTTACCCAAGAATGAAAATTAAGTCATCATTTACTCACCCATGTGTTGTCCGAATGCTGTATACCCTTCTTTCTTTTTTGGACCACAAAAGGAGATTTTTCAAAAATAATGTCCCACGTGTGCTTGTCCATATAATGGCAGTATATGGTGATCAACATCAAGCTTTTAAAGAAGACGCAAAAGTATCACAGAGTGCGACACAAGCCACATATTCCAAGTGTTCCAATTTAACATGCATTATTTAACGAATATCCTGACTTGGCCGTTGGTCTCAGTGGAGGACTGGGCATTCATGAGACTATTAGGACCGCAGTTCACTCCGATTCGCCCAGGAAAAGCACACAAGAGACCAACTGGACACTTGGAATATACGGCACATCACATGGGACCATTCTGTGATACTTTTGCGTCTTTTCTAAAAGCTTGACATTGATCACCATATACCGGCATTTTATAGACAAGCGTGCGTGGCACATTTTTGTTAAAATCTCTTTTCGTGGTCCGAAAAAGGAAGAAGGGCATACGGCTTTAGAACAACACCAGGGTGAGTAAATGATGACTTCATTTTCATACTTGGGTGAAATATACTTTTAACATCTTATGAAGCCAAAAGCTGCATGTTTGTGAGAACCGAATCTATCATTAAGATGTTTTTAACTTCAATCCGTTGTTTCCAGCCAAAATACGAGTCCACAATCCATAATAACTCTTCCTCCAGTGAAAAAGTCCATCTCCTGTTGTCTCTCACATCAAAATCCAGCCACATATTTGTTTAGAACTGCTTTGGCTTATAAACAGTGTTTGATCTGTGCAGATTTCTCTCTTGATTCAGGCGAGATGACTTTTTCACTGGAGGAAGCGTTATTATGGATAGAGGACAAGGAAAACATTAAATTATGAATTTGTTCCTTACAAAAATGCAGCTTTTCTCTTCTCAAGATGTTACCTGCTGGACTGGAGTGGTGTGGATTACTTGTGGATTACTGTGATGTTTTTATCAGCTGTTTGGACTCATTCTGATGGCACCCATTCACTGCAGAGCATCCATTGGTGAGCAAGTGATGCAATGCTACATTTCTCCAAATCTGATGAAGAAACAAACTCATCTACATCTTGGATGGCCTGAGGGGGGAGTACATTTTCAGCAAACTTAGATTTTTGGGTGAACTATTGCTTTAAGAATAAAGTGCAAATCTGAAAAAAACGAAAACCCGAAATCCAGAAGCTCTGACATTCTGCCAAACAACTCTTTTTGTGTAAAATATAATAATATGGGTTTATGGCAACGCACTACAGGTGAATAGGGTTCAAATAAAAAATATATTAATATAAACAATTAACACTTAAATGTGTATTTTGGATGTTTTCTTTCCACTAGTCTAAAAAGAATACGTTATGGAAGCAAAATAGTAAAAAGAATGCCTGAAAAGCAATGGTTTTGCCTGCATGTCTTGCCTTAAGAAAATAATATGGGTTTGGAATGACATGGTAGGAACTACTCCTTATGTAAAACTGTTTAACATTCATGCAAAATACATCTAAAAGCCACATGAGCAGTGAGACATGAGTCAGTATCACGCCGTCAAACCAGAACATCCAAAAAGAGGAAAAAAATGTAGAAATTGTCTCGAAGCATCTGATAAACACGACTGGCCCCTCCTTTAGTTTACTGTACGCTTCTGCTTTTTGCTCTGGTGTTTATCACTCTTGACGGAACACCATGGGTCATCTTGCAGGATTTACAAATGAAAGACGAACCCCATTCACATCTGCACACAACCATAATAGCATTAGACACGACTGTGAGAGAGAAAAGATCGATACGGAGCTCAGATGAATCCGTTTAAGACACCATACACCCATCCAGACCGGAATTACAGAACCGCACCATCACACTGACAGCACAAAAGATCCATGTTTCTGAAGACAAACACTATTTCACGACACATGGATCTTCATTCTGGACAATCAGGATCATGAGAATGAGTCAGCGACGGCATAGTGTTTTTCCAGAGGGTGCGTCTTTGTTGACATAGCTTGAAAGGCCTCAGAAATGTTCTGGACGCTTAAAATGTGTCACTGTCATTGCATTAAAAAGAGAAAACATGCATCATCTGTGCTCAAGTCTCTTAATATTTTAAGATGAACACTTACTGGACTGACGCAACTAAGGTTTACTTGATTATCCATAACAGAACCGCACCATCACACTGACAGCACAAAAGATCCAGGTTTCTGAAGACAAACACTATTTCACAACACATGGATCTTCATTCTGGACAATCAGGATCATGAGAATGAGTCAGCGATGGCATAGTGTTTTTCCAGAGGGTGCGTCTTTGTTGACATAGCTTGAAAGGCCTCAGAAATGTTCTGGACGCTTAAAATGTGTCACTGTCATTGCATTAAAAAGAGAAAACATGCATCATCTGTGCTCAAGTCTCTTAATATTTTAAGATTAACACTTACTGGACTGACGCAACTAAGGTTTACTTGATTATCCATACTTGTTTTGTTTTTTTAAATCAAAATGTGAGTATCAAATATGATTATCAAGCTTTTGAGGAACATTTATTATCTCAATCATCATCACTGTATTGAATTGCATTATACGTGTTGAATATATTAGGAGATATAGAGTGACAACTATAGTGTTATAAAGATCTCATTGATTTACATTGATATTTTCAACATAAATATCAGCATCTGCACCAAATTGCATATTTTGCTCAGTTTGAGCCTCTGAATAACATTTTTCCTGCTTGAGTTTAAGCTTCATAATCTAACAAAAGCCTTAAATATTAAAAATTATACATAAAAATCATATGCAATTTCCCCCTACACCTTCAATAATTGTTCCATTTAATAAACAAAAAAAATGATTTTTTATTATTTAATATGTTTTACAGGGTTAACTTCACTTTTCCTCATTTATGCTCAATGTCTTTTAATTAGTCTGTAAAACAGCAGATGATTAAATGGCATTAGGCAAAAATGAAGAACCGTGAAGTGATTTTAGTGGATGTATGAAGCCAAGCTTATGTAGTACAATTACAAATTGTTATTTGAGCTTCCAAACACTTTTTGGGCCCAGTGTAAGCTCAACTTTTAGTGAATGACTTAAAGGGGTCATATGATGCTGCTAAAAAGAACATTGTTTTGTGTATTTGGTGTAATGAAATGTGTTTATGC